TCAAACTATTTTAGTAAAATTTATTTCTCTTAATTCTTCGGCAACCGTGCCAAAAACTAGAGTTCCTTTTGGATTTCCTTTTTGATCAGTGATAACTATTGCATTGTCATCATAGAGTATTATTATACCGTCGCCGCCCTTGAATTCTTTTGACGCGTACATACAATTACAGCTCGAATTACTTCGGATCTTTCTAGAGGCACGTGGGGCACTGGGTCTTTGACTACAACAATAGTAACATCACCAATAGGTGCATATCACACCAGCGGCTCCTATGACTCGAATACACATCAATTTTCAAGCTCCACTGTTATCTACTATATTTAAAAGGGTCTGAGGTTAAATCATATTAATTTGATTTGCATTTGTTATTTCAATGCAAAAGGATGAAAGAAATATTGTCTTTCTGGAAAGAAAAACCAGAAGTTTTTAATCTTCAATACTCCTTTTTGGGTTCTCTATCTCTAATGGAAGAAATTGACTTCGTATGGGCATTTTACTAGCAACTAGTATTCAACCTGGTTTAACAACGGCTACCCAATATTCGGGGATCCCTTTCCCAAGCTTATATGTGTTTCTGTGGGTCTTATTGTAACTAGTTTGTCGGGAAATATACGCACCCATATTTTTCCACAACGACATGCATATCTTGTCATTGCTCTTCGTCCTGCTTCTATTTGTCTTGTGGTGATCCATGCGAGTTCAAGTACTTGAAGAGCATATCTACCAAAACAAATATGATTGCCTCGGTAGGATTTTCCCTTCATTCTTCCTCTATGTTGTTTACAAAATCTAGTTTTTGTGGGGTTCTAGCCGATGGTTCTTTCTTAGCTCCATCTCTACTATAAAACTACACATGAGAGTTTCTTCTCATCCAGCTCCTCGCGAATGAAATGAGAAAGCGTGCAAATTTTTATTTCTCTAATTCCATAATATTCAAAAATATTATAGATAGGTACACATCAATATAATAGAAAAAGTTAGGTTTTTTTATTTTGACTTTCTTAAAAAAGAAAAAAAATGTATAGTCAAGAAAGAAGATATAGAATATTACAAAATTCAATATTTATATAAAATGTAATCTTTTCTTTTTTCGAATCTCTTTTTGTATTCTTATAGAATCGTGGTATAGTATTCTAATCCAATAAGGATTTCGCGGGTGAATATTTACTCTTTCCTGTCTTATTTGCTAACTTAGAACCTTATTAAATAAAGCAATTTTTTTGTTTTGTTCCACCATCCCAAGTCATTGGTTTTGTCGTTCCCACAACTTCTCGTTTAATGGTTAGGTTTGAATCCTGCAATGGAGCTTCCAAAAAAAATTCTTTCCGAGTCAATTTTCTCAGTTTTATTAACCCGACTGCTCTTTATTTATTGCTTTATATTTATATTTGTTGTTTCAAAAGTAAAGTTACGATTTCAAATTCTCTCTCTTTTTTAGAATTTTATTATATTGATGCTTTATCACATTGCATTTTTTATGATGTAATTCTTAGACCATAAACATGGGAATCATATATCTTTCTTATTCTTCTTCCTTCTATCTATCATACCTCCTTTTATCTACATCCCTTTAGTTTTGCTTCACAGCCTAGAATCAGGTTTCTTTTGTAGAGAAAAAAATACGGTTGCTACAACTATATGATAGACTACTCATTTTTGATAGATGTATTTATTCACATAGTGATTGTTTGTTAGTTAGGATCTCAACAATAGGAAGCAATAGGTTGGTTATTAGTTAATTTTCTATCATTACTCAGATTTTTCTATTTTTAGTAGGGTTTAGACAATTTTTTTCAGTTTTGACCCTAAAGAAAAAACTAAATGAGTCACACACTAAGCATAGCAATTATATTAAAAGATTTATTCATTTTCATTAAATCTTATAGAAAGAGGGATACTTTTTCTTTTTTAGAGATTTTGGAAAAACAAGGTTCTTGTCTTTTTTATTCGATCACTGGGCGGAATGGGAAGACATGGTTAGTTATTCTTCTTCTACGGATATCCAAATTTTGACACCTAATACTCCATAGATAGTTCGAATTGGATAGCAGCAATAATCAATTTTAGCGCGAATTATTTGTAGGGGTAGTCTACCTTTTTCATGCATTCGACACGTGCAATTTCTTTTCCTGCTAGACCCGCAATTTGGATTTTTATTCCCTTTATATCAGCATTTTTAGTTAATTCAATAGTTTTTTCATTGTTTTTCGGAATGAAACTCTATTTTTTAATTGGAAAGCTATATATTTCGTAAGAATATTAGGTTGTCTATAAGGTTCTTTAACATTTTCGACAGCAATATTAAGTCTCCGGTTTACATAATTAACTTTTTTTGGAGATCTTTCTCTAATTCTTCGATTGCTCTCTTTTTCTTAATAAATTGGGGAATCCAATATGGATTATGACGTGAATTGTATTGATTTCTTTATGAATTTCTATATGTGTAATTACTTCCGAACTTGAGTCTGATTCCATTTTTCTATTCAAGCCTTTTTTTCCTATTCTTTTGTATATAGTTCTTGATACAATTCCATATTTTTTTATCTTCTTGTAGACATTTTTACAAATAATTTTTGGTTGTGCGAACCAAAAGGAATGGTGATTTTGGGTTGTACCAAGTCTGAAACCGAGTGATTAAGGCACACAAATATTTTTTTTGTCCCATATTTTTCTATTATATTTCTTTTTTTTACTGGAAATCAAAATTTTAGATTGATCTAAAGATTATTTAGATTTATTTACTATATTTAATACAGTTGTTATATTACACCCTTTTTTATCTTTTTTTCTTTTCTAATATGTATCACTAAATTTTTTAAAGATAAAAAATAAATAATAAATACAGTACTACGGTTCTTTAAAACTTCGACCATTACCTAATAAATAAATATTTCTATCACTAAATTATTGATGAAATTTGGATTATGAATGAATTAGCTAATGGCCTAACTTGTAAACTAAAATCTTGAGCCGTTTGTCATCCAACTAATCAAACTAAATGTTTCTCCAAGTTGTCTGCATGTACCAAGGCAAATCTCTAAATTATTGGTACCAGTGTAACTCTCAACAAAGGTTAACATGTAAAAATCAAGAGAAGTCTCGATCATACTTCGTCCTCATCAATAGAAAGATCAATTCTTGACATGATAACGACTAACTCCTTGCTATCTTTAATAAGATATTAAAAATACATATTTTGATCCTCAAACGAAGTCATCAAACTTAATATCTAACTCTATCAACACATGAGTAAGTATGAAACTAAAGTTATGATATAATTACGAGTAAATATTTGTGTGCCTTACAAGAAAAAATGTATCAAGGTTATATTTTAATTCAATACTGTGGATGGTACTGTCGTCGTAAAATAAAGTATGACTTTTAAATTTTATGTAAAGGATAAAAAGTAAACAGATATGTAAACGTGTCGTCCTTCCTTCCATTAACGAGCCCTTTTATTTACAATTGGTGCAAACACCACTCACAATAAAAAAAGTAACATCTATATGAATTTAAGCCGTCGCAGCTGGGCAGCAAGCTGAAGGAAAGAAGTCCGGGTTCATAACTTTTTTTTCTCCACGGGCATGTTTGCTGGTCAAAATCAAATTTGATAAGAGAGGCTTTTATCTGTGTATCATTAAAAAAGTTTGTAATTATACATAAACCATTAAAAAAGTTGAGCTCCCACGAGTGCCACCATTCTGAATTTCTTTGCTCCCCAAGCCATTCCATCCGCATTCCGTTCGTTTTTTACAATTTGGAAGTCCTAACAAGTAGGTCAGGTCAATCAAAACGTTCATAATACCCCTCTTATCCCTATCCCCTCTCTCTCTCTCTCTCAAACTTGATCTCTCTTCTCGTGCGTGCGGCCGGGGCGGAGCTCGCTCGCGCGTGCTCGGGGCGGCCGGGGCGGAGCTTGCCTGCGCCCGCGCCCGTGCCCGCCTGGACGAGGTGGCGCTGTGGTCGGAGTGGAGCTGCCCCCCGAACATGGCGGCGCCGCCGACGGCGGCGGCCACCTTGAGGATGGCCGCGGCCAAAGCGTCCACCATCAGCAGCACCGCCGCGAGCGTGTTGGTGATCTTGGCGGTGTCTGTGCGGAGCCCGCTCATGGCGAAGAAGAGCGGCAGCAGCGTGCCCACCACGAAGTCCTCCACCTTCTCGACGATGGCGGCGTCGACAAGGTCGTTGGGCGCAGTGAGGTCAAGACGAAGATGCGAGGCGGACCGCCTCGGCCGCCGACCGCTCCGGACCGGCTCGCCGATGCCGTGTTCCACTCGCCGATGGCCGCGCCAAGACACACCAACACGAGCCACGGGACGGCGGCGGCGGCGAGGGCCCAGCGTCGTGAGGAGGCGGCCTCGTCCCCAACAGCGGCGGTGAGAGCCAGGAGGCGGCGCGCGTGGAGCTACCGCAGTCGGTCCTCGCCATGGATCTGCCGCATTGCGTGTGGAGGTGAGCTCCGGCCACCGCCAACGGCACACGCGCGAGCTTTGGCCCGACCATCGTGGATGGCGCGGGCGAGCTCAACGTGTGGGAGGGCGGCGGCGTGGAGCCACGACGTGAGGAACTGACCAAGACAAAGACGGGCCGAGGCACTGAGAGGTGGGCGCGGGGCTGGGCCACGCGCGGCGGTGTTGACGCCTGCATGCAAGCGTTCTGCGGTGCATAGGAGTGTCGTGGTCATCATGGGGGAAGAAGATAAGGAGGAATACTGAGAGAGAAAACTGAGGGGCAACATGGACAATTTAATTGACCGGTCCCACCTGTAAGGGCTATCAAACGATGAAAAACAAACGGAATAAGGACGGAATGGCTTGCAAGACAAAAAAGTTTAGAAGCAGTGATATCTGTGTATGGTTAATTTTTTTAATGACTTATATGTAATTACATCCTATTTTTAATGGCACACGGCTAAAAGGCTTTTGATAAAACCACTCCGGTGATGAAGAGATAGCCTCCTCTTTCGATAAGCTACCCTGGCCTCCGCTGCGCCTCCCATGGCGTCGTACCTCGCCGCCTTCCACCCCACTCTTTCCCCGGACCACCCCATAACCCATCCGCATCGCTGCCCTGCTCGCCCCAACCCTACCACCGGCCTCCTCCGCCTCCTCCCGTCCCGCCACCGCGCTCGTCCCCCCGCGGCCGTCCGCCTCGCCGTTTCTGCCTCCTCCACCTCCGCCCCGCCCCCATCGGCGGATCGGTCGGAGGCCGCGTCGTCGCTGGAGAGATGCCTCTCGGCGATGGCGTCGGGGGCGGGGATGGGAATGGGGGTGGCGCCACCAGCCTCGGCCCCGCCGCGCGCCCCGCCGGCGATGAAGGGGGGACGGAAGCAGTACGGCGCGTTCGGCGCCGTCACGCTCGAGAAGGCCAAGCTCGATCTCTCCCAGCGCCGCAAGAAGATCATGCCCGAGGTTGTTATCTTATCTTAATCCTCTCGCAGGTTTGCGTAATTTTTGCTGCGAGGAAGGGGTGTTTCCGAAATTGGGTTTAGGAATTTTTAGGGATAATATAAGCCTTTGTGTTCGAAGGCCATTGGATGCAATTAAGAGTGCGGAGTGCCCATGTTTAGCACAGTGGTGACTACAGTGATAAAGAGTGCCAAGGTATTGGATAAGGCATGCGGGGCAGGAAACTGGTGATCGTAGAATAGTTGTATGGAAATCATGGAAAAGACAGATTTTTAGTGACCGACTATTGCCTTTCCTGTGCTTTTATTGTGTAACACGCTCTAATTTAGAGTTGCTACTCGGCATGGATATCTGCTTCAAAATTTTCCTGATTACATCTTCAAAACGAAGATAGTTTCGTGTGCACTTTTCCATCCAAAGGTGTGTGCCTGAACGTGTCTTGGTACTGTGGATTCCATATTCGTTTAACAAATGCTCATGTCGTCTGGTGTTTGATTTGCTTATACTATTTCTCCCATGCCAAGTAGGCAATAGGCATCCTGAAAAGGGCCAGAACTACACTGCCTCGCTATTTCTGTCAGTTTGATTTTCTATCGATTACTTGGGCTTGTTTGGCACAGCTCCAACTTCATGATGGCAAGAACCATGCATGATTTGGAGTTTGTAAATTAAAAGATTATTTTAACATATGTATTTAATCTACAATGATAAGAAAATTGCTCAACCAAATGTGTTCAATGTGGCCACAGCTCTAGCTCCAACAATTTCGTGAGCTAGGGATGATGACCAACTCCAAATTTTGGAGTTGGAGCTTGGAGATGTGCCAATTTATGGCATGGCTTCATCAAACTCCTGATCCCGATCCCCTCCAGTGCTGCCGCCTCTCTCTCTCTCTCTCTCTCTCTCTCTCTCTCGTTCTCCACCACTGCTCCGCCTCCGCCCGAATGCCTGCTCTGCTTCCCTCTACCCCTCTCTGTATGCGCTGCTCTGCTTCCCTCTCCTCCGGATGTGCTGCTCCTCTTCCCCCCGCCTCTCTGCTTCCCCTCCCTCTGGTCAGCGCTCTCAGATCGACAGCCACTGCTGTCCCCTTCCAGATTGAGCAATTGACGAGCGGGATATGGAAGAAATCAAGCCAGTAGAAGCAAAATTGAGCAGTCCACCAGCAGAATCGACGAGGAGACGGTGAAATCGAGGGGGCGTCAGCATGCACTTAAGGCGACGGAGTGTCGCTTTGCCCCTGAGGCGATCCTAGCCTGCTCCGATGCTTAAGCCACGCCTTAATAACCATGCTTGATGGGTGTCACCTTGCTCCGATGTTTTAACAGTCCTGTTGTGTTCTATTTTGATGGGGCATTAGTCGTTTACTCTGATGGTACTAATTTATTTCTCAACCAGTTGTTACTTTTTCAGTGGGAATATGTGAACTCGCTGCTACCTACGTAGGCTTGAAACTTTGATTTTAATTGTAAGAGTACTGCAGCAACAAACTCCTGTGTTGGAGCAGAAAGAGCTCATTCTGTGAGCTCACACGTTCCATGTGGCATCAGTAAGAAAAATGGTGATGGATTGTTTTGTGTGGACTTATGGAGCCGTTCATTGGTAGTCTAAGAAATAGCTAATGTTGACATCGTAGCCTAGCTGATCTAGTCATGATTATGCATCTTGTAGAGTTGCATGGGAATTTGGTAACTATGCAGCGATGAGCTGACCTGTTTTCCCGGTTTCAGGTTACATTGAGTTGGTGTTACACACCTGACTTAAGTTTTTATTGAGCATCCATGGCTAGATATATGGTTGGATTGAGTTGAAATCAGATATCCTTTCTTATAATCTACTTCTTGTTGTACCTTATTTGCTATATGGTTAGGACAAAGTAACAAACTGTGATGGTCATGTGCATTATTAAGTTTTCTAACTGCATTTACTAATCACAAATTTCCTTTCAATATTTCAGCTGGCAACAGGTGGTGGTGGTGGAGATATTGGAAAAAGGATCGGTCATGGTGGGGGTGATGGTGGTGATGATGATGGTGATGATGATGATTACTTTGATGATTTTGATGATGGAGAGGAAGAAGAAGGTGGGCTTTTTAGGAGGCGAATTGTTGTACAAGAGGTGAGATTGCAAATATTTTGAATTCAGATGAAACTGTGTCCATGTCCTGATAAACATTGATGCTTGTGAGTTAAAGTGCTTCTTTTCTTGAGGCAGCTATTCAATAGAGAGTTTGTAGAAGCTGTGTTGCAAGAATGGTGCAAGACGATGAGTAATTTGCCTGCTGGTCTCCGCCAAGCTTGTGAGATGGTAAAATTTGACCACCCCTTTCATATATTTCTTGCTTTAGTTTTGGTACGATAGTTGAACAACATGAATTTACAAGATATATATGTCTGGTTGCAGGGTTTGGTGAGTTCTGCACAGATGGTACGTTACTTGTCAATATTTGCAAGACCTACAAACACTAGGTCCTTCTCAAGAGCTCTTCCAGGTTGGCTTTCCAGAGGTCTTGTTGGAAGGTAACTTCCAGAATCATGTGCTTGTTGACACCATATTTGGTTAAGGTAGATTGCTTCCATAATTTTAGAGTTTAGTTCAAAGTTGAACTGAGTGAATTCAGACATGCTGTTATGAAGTTTGATAATAATCATTATTTAATATCTAGATTCTTGCTAGGGTAAACACGGTAGAATAGGCATGGTGCACGCATTGCATTGTTGGGATATTTGACTGTTTCAACTTTCAATAAATAGTCTATGCAAAGAACACGTGCCAATAAAATAGGTTTCATTATTGTTCTTTCCAAGTCAGATGGGTTATAAGGTTTTCTCATGGGTCTAAATGGACCTTCGAGGTGTTGGAGCCGCCGGCGGACATGCCGCCAACCTGCGCCAGCCGGCGGCCGCCGCCCCCTCCCTCTCTAAGATGCGGCTAGCCCTAGGGCAGCCGTTCCCCTCCTCTAACCACCTTAATCCCCCCAATTGTTCCCTCAAATCCTTCTCTCATGTGCCTACCGGAGCAGAACCATTACACCCACCCGCCAGTCTACAGGTACCATATGCGGAGGATCCACCTGCTGTAGACGCGGTGTGTGTGTGTGTGGGGTGGGGTGGGGGGGGGGATAGGGACTGAATTATTAAGAATTGAGATTTTGTGAGATCTTACTGAAATAAAACCTGTGTTTCGTGCTACTATTTTGGTCATAAAAACTATGGTTTCCTCCTGCAAATTCGAGAAAAAAAATAATGCAAGTTGCTTTTCTTTCAAACAAATATGCAGTATATTCTGTTGTTTGCAGGACACTTGCTGATCCATCATTCCCACATAAGATGGCTTTGGAGTTTATGGCTACCTTTTCCTCGTCTATTTGGTGGGAAATGAATATTCGCAAGGAGAGGTATGTTTTACCTTTTCAAAAGCTATTCAACAATCTCATCTTATTACATCATTAAACCATTTCACACTTTTGGGAAATCAGGTTTGGACAAGAATGGGACTTGGTGATTGTGAATGCTTTGACTGCATCGTGTTGCAACTTGATGGTTCTTGGGCTTTTGGCACCGTGCCGTTCATATGGAAGTACATCTCGATTTGACTTCCAAAATGCAATTGAGAAACTTCCAAATAACATATTTGAGAAGAGCTATCCTTTGAGAGAGTTTGATCTACCAAAACGAATCAGTGCATTCTTTTATAAAGCTGCTGAACTTAGTCTGGTTGGGTTTGTGGCTGGCTCTGTTCAAGGTGGTATGTCAAAAGTCTTGTCTGCAAGAAAAGAAAGGTGGTGGGTTTATCATAGTATTCAAAGTCATATAAAAGCATCCTTCTAAGGCTTCTCTGATGCATCCTTTTAATTATTATATTACTACCCTTCCATTTAGGTTATCGGTGACTATTCCCTCTGTCAGCGCCAATGCTCTTGGTTATGGAGCTTTCCTAGGACTCTATGCGAACTTGCGTTATCAATTGCTCTGTGGACTAGACCAATATATGGTCAAGCGCTTTGATGTTTTGGGTGTGGCAATCTTCTTTAGCACAGCAGCAAGGTAAATCTGTATTGATGTTTTCTCTTAATACATTAGTGTTTCATGGAATAAGTCATTTGTGTGGTTCATTGTGCATAATAAGCAGAATTGAGCTGAATGCTGAGATGAACTAATTTTTGAGATGGACATTAGTAGCATCATGAGGCTTTGATGACATAATTTGGGGTCTTCTTGTAACTCCTTAGGATTAAGGTCCTTCTGATTGATCTTTACATGTTCAATGACAGAATATGAATTCATATTGTTGTTTGACTTTGAGCTGGCAACATGGATAGCAATAAAGCATCTGGTAATAGAAATGAAATAATCAAAACACTGAAAGTTGATAACTTATATCAAACTGGGTTCACACCTTATAATTTGCGTGAAATTGACTGAAATTAATTTCAGATGACAGCTACTTCCTGCAGATTAGTGTGGCTCGATATATATGTGGGCCCTACACCAAAACTGGACCATAGAATTTAAAATTTCACATTCACACTTCAAAATTTCAGTGAAATTAACTGACATTTGTTGTAGAGTCGGTACCTTTTGTAGATCACTCCAGTAAGATCAAAATGTGGGTCCCACATTAGAAATCTAAAACTATAACCAAAGTTCAGCTAGGTGCTAGGCGGAATCTAGGCGTTGACCCATTGCCTAGCGCCTAGTCGGGAGACTCGGTCCTAGGCGCTCCTAGGCGTTTTCCTAGGCGTTTTGGCAATATAGCCATAAATTATATATATATTATGTATATAACTATATATATGTATATAACTACTATATATGAGTCACAGTAAGTATAAAAAGAGGGCCAGTAGACATATCTGATTCCTAGCTGGCTTACTCTTGCATGTTCCTAGCTCCTGCAACACATTTTGACAGCTGGTAGTTAGTAAATTAGTCAATAGACAGCTAGTTGTTCATAAAAAAAAAAAAATTGAAAACACTAAGTTGTGACTTATCTGGATGATTTCAGCAGCCTCCCATCCATGAGCACACCATATCAGCAGCTGGTAATTACAATACAAGTGGATAGGACAGGAATACAAGTGCACAACACAATTTATAAATAAAGGACAGCACAAGCACATAGTTCTTAGTTCAGGTCTCACAAATCACAAAAGAAGACAAACAGACACAAAGTGACACGAGCAGGATGGCGGCGGCGAGTCGACGACGAGCAGGACCGGCGGCACGCGAGTCGGGACGAGCAGGGGACGAGCTTGGACGAGCAGGGGAGGAGCAGAGGAGGAGCAGGACTGGCGGGGAGGAGGTCGTCCGGCGGGATGGACCTCGCCGGCGAGGAGGACCGGCGGCGGGGACGACCAAATCTTACGCGGGGACGAGCGGATGGCGCGCGCGCTCCTTCTAATCCTCCCGCGCCTAGGTCTCGTGGCCGCGCGCGGGCCTGGCCGCGTGGGAATTCCTCCCGCGCTCCGATTTGGCGCGCCAAAATTGGCTGCCCTCGAGCTCGCGCTCATCTCGCGCGCCTACGCGCCGCGTCCGCGCCCGCCTAGCGCGCCTATGCGCCGCCTAGCGCCGCGATGCGCGACTATGCCCCTAGTCGCGGCGACGGGCTTCGCCCAGCGACTAGGCGCGCGTAGTCGCCGAGTAGTCGCCGCCTAGCCGAACTTTGACTATAACAAACCTTGTGTTACTTGATTCATCCATTTCTACTAATAGATTATTAATTGAGCTAAAGACTTACCCATGGATAATCTATTCCGCATACTCCATCCTACCCATTTCTATTGGATATTTTTTTTTTACTCATATCCTGCCCTAATGTGATGGGTAAGGGTTTGAATATGGGTAATTGATACCCACTAACAGGTATACATGATACCATATGTTAGTACATCATAGATTGGCTGTCTATCTTCTTACTGGTGTTTCTTATCTGTGCGGTACGGTTCTATGCTATGAGTTATTGTCTCAGGTTCATTATATTGGTCCCTTCAAAACTTGCCCATTATATTGGTCTCTTATCATGAGGAATTTCAATTGAATTGCATATACTTTGGGATATACAAACTTATAAATATTGAAGTATTGAATTTGTTGGGTTCCGAAATGGTTACAGCATATTCCTTTATTCTCCATCTTCTCTATCCACTTGCTGGTCGAGAACTCGAGATTGCAGAAGTTATGTACTCTCCTATAGACTAACAGTGAGAAAATAAAAAAAACCATAACTCCATTAGGTGGGATGGCCCGTGCGAACATGTCGGAGACATCAGTGACCTCTGGTCAGCATACATAATTTAGTGGCATATAACATAAAGGTGTTTATTGTCCATCTGGGCAGTGCTTTTATTGTCCATCTGTTCACAAAGACTTGGATTAGTAAAAGTTTTCAGTATTTCAATACTTTAGGACATTGTTTTGATCTTATCATCAACCAATATTTTTTATACTCTTGCATTCTTATATATACTTTTGGCTGTTTTCAACGTTATTCTCATATTCTGAACCTAATTGTACCCTCCTTTCTTGTGGTTATTTGTGTTTCATCTCTGACCTTTTATTTGTACAATCTTAATCTGCATTTCTGTGCTTAGCAACTACTCCCTCCGTTCCTAAATGTCTGTCGTTTTCGCTTCCCGAGAAACAACTTTGACTAAATATATATTAAAAAATATTAATATTTATGATACATAATTAGTATCATTGGATAGATATTTGAATCTAGTTTTTTAATAAATTTATTTGAGATAGAAATGTTGCACGCATTTTCTATAAATCGAGTCAAAGTTATCGGCATGTAAATCATTGTGACAAACATTTAGGGACAGAGGGAGTATGTGAACTCGGCCCATTTTTATATTACACGGAATAATGGAACTGCTCCTTGTTCTCTGAGTGCTTGTTCTAGCACTAACACATTGGTGTTTATATTGCAGACTGATGAATATTCAGATTGGTGAGGCATCAAGGCGAACATGGCTTGGCGAGGAAGCTGATCCACAGTACTCAGATCGACTGCTGAGAGCATACAAGAGGCCTGTGGAGGTTTACATGGACCAACAGGATTCAAGGTGGTTTATATCCAAGGATGCAATCGTATCTGGCCTTGGTCTTCTAGGCATCAAGCAGGGTGGACCCGAGGCAGCATTGTCTAAGCCTCGTCGAAAGAGAGTCGTCCGCAAAAAGGTCGCTTCAGGTTGAGTTTAGTGGATTTGGTAGCAATGCTGGAACAATTTTGCTTCTGTTCCGCTATGCGAGAGGGAGGTCTACCCAAATAATGGTAAATGAGAAAAACTATCAACGTCAACCAGCACGTGGTCTATCGGGGAAGGCATCAAAGGGTTTGTTACTGGGAAGGGTTGGTTAAAAGGTGCCCATTACTATTTTATAATTTAATTGCAGTGATTTCCTTGTTTTTGGTAAGAATAATATGTTGGTTTCTTGTATTGCTGTGAGGCAAATAGACACGTTTAGTGGTGGCTCTGTAAGATTGTTAATGTACTGACTTTAACATGAGAAATGGATTCTGCATTTTTTATATATAGATCAAATAGCTGCCACATGCTTGTATCTATCTTTTGAGGTCAATCAGGTCAGGGTTCCTGCTTTGCTGCGGGTTAGGACCATGCTTCTTTAATGAAAACTTATTTAAGTACTAAGGTTAGTTTCAGTGGAAGTTTTTTTTTTTTTTTTGCTATTTCTAAGACTCATATTTCAAAGGCCTTATTTAGATGCATGTGTATCCACCTATTGGAACAAAATTTAGTTTAATTCTACTTCAATCCACTTTCTGGATTGAGATGAAAACTTGCGCATCCAAAAAAGGCCCTAAAGTGGAATAAAACAATACTTCTCACATATGGATTGAGATGAATAAATGTATATCTAAAAAAAGGCCTAAAGTGGAATAAAACAATACCTAGTGGAATGTTTTATTTCACATTTTCATATACTAGTCATATAATTTCATTGTTGTATGGCATTACGATCTTGCAAAGTACTGTCACTTCAAAATTCATCTGGGCATTCCAGCACGTCAAAGGCAACCCATTGGATGCATGTGTATTTACTTTAACCCACATATATTGAAGTGGATTGGAATGAAATTTAATTTAATTCCACCCAATCCACTTTCTGGATTAAGATGAATACTTTTGCATCTAAACAAGGCCCTAAAGTGAAATAAAACAATACTTCTCACATGTGGATTAAGATGAATATATGCATATCTAAATAAGGCCTAAAGTGGAATAAAACAATACATAGTGGAATGTTTTATTTCATATTTTCATATACTAGTCATATAATTTCATTGTTGTATGGTGTTACGATCTTGCAAACTACTGGCACTTCATTCATCTGGGCATTCCAGCACGTCAAAGGCAACCCATTTGCTAAATAAAATATCGTCAAGAGAAAATAGATTAATCACCTTCAGTATCAGTACCATATGAAATAGACCTCATATATGATACGTCACTTTAGAAAGCTACAACTCTCTTCATTTCAAATTGTATGTCTTTTTAGTTTTTTTTTAATTTAAATATATAGTTTTTGCTATGCACCTAAATAAGTTTTTGCAATGCACCTAAATATATACTATGTCTATATGCACAGTAAAAACTATGCTAAAAAAGTCAAAACGACTTACAATTTGCAACCGGAGGGTAGTAGCTTTCTGAGGACCTTTTCCTCCAGCATCTCACCTCATCTTCAGTCCTGTGATATACTTATCACAAAGATGTACCAATTCAGGAATATGCACACACAGATGAAACAAAGAGTTCACACTTGAACAACCTATTGAAATTGAACCTATCACTTTAATAAGTTTAATAGCCAAAACTTTAGGTCATCAATTGCCTATCAACTGTTTCAAAAGATCAGTTTTGAGAATTGTTTCAAAAGATCTAGCTTACGAAGACCGTCTAATTTGGATGCACAAGCACATGATTTTACCGGTCACAAAAAGAAGCACCTGATTTTACCATAAAACTATAGTACTTCATAGAGCTTTTTTTTCTGATCAGTACATGTAGCAGTGTGTCACTGCTTTGAGAACTCAGAACAAGCAGGAAAATTACCCAAACTAACACCATGGTTTGGGGAAACTAACCAAGTAGGTAAGTTACCATGGATTTGTGGATGAGGAATGATTCGCATTGCTACCAACTTTCGGCCCCGTTCGGCTTACCTAGAAGCTGGCTTGTTCGGCTTCTTTTTTCAGTCGGAACAGTATTTTTCTCTCACAACAATTCAGCTAGAACAGTATTTTTTAGCCAGTTTCAGCTAAGTTTCAGCAAGCCGAATGGGGCCTACATTTGGAGAGGGGGGTTGAGAATTTCCCACACCTAGATGTAGTGACAACGTCTATTTGTATTTGCTGGATTCCCATTTCATTTTCTTGACCCTCCATTGAACTCTGCCCGTTGCATTGTTCCTTTGTAGATGACCTTTTTTTCTGTAAAAACGCAGGAGAGCTATGTATTATTATAATAAGAAAAAAGGGAAAGAACCCTTACAAACATCCCAAACTCATGCTAAATAAACTAAGAGTACATTCTCCCCCTTGCTAAAAGAAGGCGGCCTCAACTTAGTCTCACATAGGAAGTAGGCTAGCTAGGTAAGAAATACTCCTGGTACCTGCACACGTCCTTTCATGCATGCTCAAGCGTGTGACGGACTAAGATCTTAAGGGTTTTCCATAGAGCTGACTACCTAGCAAGGAGATGGGCAGGCCTAGGAAGGCATGAGATAAGTTGTATAGATGAGCCTGTAGCCTGTAGCCTAGCACGGGGCCCGCTATTTTAGCCCGGCATGAGCACGGCACACCCTAGTGTTTCGCAGACCAGGGCCAGCCCGACCCGATGTATAGGGCCATGCCTAGACCACCACTCAGGCAATATAGGCTGCCCAGCCCTGCTCGACAATTAAAGAAAGGCCTGATGGTGGCCCGGTGGCCACCATGGCCTGCTAAGAGCCCACCACGTCTCCTTCCTATCCCTAACTCTAACGTCGTTTCTCAATTCCTCATTCTCACCCTGTTCCCCACCCCACACCCCACGCCGCACACAGCTCTGCTCCTCACCTCCTCCCTCTTGGCTCCTCCACGCCCCCAGCAAGCTAGCCACATCCTCCTCGTCCTCTTGCCCCCTGCACCACCGGCACTTCAGAAGACAAGCGTGCCCCCAGCGCGGTTGGCCCCCTCCACGTGCTCGCGACGGCTCCACTCATGCTAGAGTAGCTCCTTCCGATCGCGCTGCTTCCCCTTACCCTTCCCTTTTCTCACGCTTGCGCAGTTTGCTCTTCCCCTTCCCCTGCTAATGCTTGGGCACGGGCCTGGGTGGTAGTAACTCCGTGCGTCCTCTCTTCCCCTTCCCCTGCTGACTCGGGGCGAGTGCGGGGCGGCCACGAGAGCTGCGGCTACAGGGGCGGTGGCCTCCCTCGACCTGCTACCACCATAGCGCCGCCTCTCTTTCCCAAGCTCGCCTGCTACCGCCGCGGCGCCGCCTCCCTTCCACTAGCAAGCGGGTCTTGGGCTGGCCCGATAGGCTTCACAGGCCGTGCTTTGCGGGCCAAGCACGAAGCCCAGCTTGGCGTGGCCCGATAGCACGCCGTGCCTTGCCTGGCCCGTCCTGGGCTCGGGCCGGGTGGCCTGTTTCCTCATCTATAATAAGGTGGCGTGGCTTCCAAGGCAAGTAAACTGACTTAATCGGATAAAGGAAAGCCTATATTTGTAGTAGGACTAGAACTCTTCTATCATAACAGACTAGGATTAGAATGGTGCATTTGGCCTCTAGAATATATAAAGAGAGGCATTACCCCTTGTAACAGTTCATACGGCACAATCCAACGCAAGGCAAACCACCATATAGGACATAGGGTATTACGTTATTGAACAATCTAAACCTGTCTAAATCGATGTCTCACATTAACCATCGATTTTTTGTTTATGCCGAAGCCCACCAATCCTCGCTGCAGGAAACCCCGTAGCAAGGTTATCGGTCACCAGACACCAATAGCAGCATGCCAGATATGGGCTTTTAGCGAAAAACGTTTCGAAGCTTGATGGACCTCAAGCTTGACACCGTATTCAGGGTAGGATCGACTTTCATCTTTGGTTCCTAGGTCTGCACGGCGGATGACTAGCATACTCCATCATCGCCTCATGGACACTCCCATGAATCAAGCTTCTCCGTCTCTTCTTCAAGATGCGCTAGAGGATCCCGTTGAGAATTTTGGCAAATTTTCAATTTTCAGTTCGATCCAGACGAGGAAACAACTTGATGAGATCCTAACATACATGTATGTTAAGCCTCGGATCCAATGGTCCCTGAACAAAGAAGACCCCCTGACTGACCCCTTTAGGATCGCCCGGGGGCTCGGGGGCTATGCCAATTGGGCACACTCGCATGCACCCTCTGGCAAAGAGACTCGACCAAGCCTAACTTGACCATAGATTTTGCCTGTGACTCGAGGCTTCCTCGAGCCTCGGTCTCCCTATCTATGGCGCCTCTAGGCCCGGCCCTTGGCTCCTGCATGGCTAACGATGTTAGCCAAGGCCCGGGCACAAGAGGACAATCCCTAGGCTATTGATGCCCGAGGGCTACCTGGATCCTCTCCCTAGGCATGCCCCTACCAACTGCTCCTCCGACAGGGTTACGTTTGGGACGTGACACAAGAAGACAAAGCTTCACGCGGCCTCTGGGAGCACGGGGGCTTCCAGGCCCACACGTCAACCCCTAGAGCGGACCTCCTTCGCCACCAAGAGGACTATAGAAGGTCTCACCCGGGGGAGGCCGGTCCAAGCCGACACCCTCTGACACGCAGAGTGTCAGAACAGAGTAGCCGGATGACGCTAAGGCTTCTTTGGCTCCAAGACACCTTGACGGTCCATGGCGTACCGCTGCAAGCCCTTCCTGGACTCCAGCGCACGTAGACCATAGACTAGAACCCCCAAACCGCCTTGTACCCAACCTATCTCATTATATAAGGGATAAGGTCAGACCTAGAGGGGGGAGGATCCCGATTGGATCACCAGACACTCCATTCCATTCCATCTGCCTCCGCTCTGCACCGAGAGCAAGGCAACCCGAAGAGGGGCATCGAGAGCCCCTCCTCCACCGTATCCTGTCATTTCCTTCCTCTCTAATGAGGGGGCTGAAAGCATCTAGGCCCCTAGTTGGGTTTCGGTGATTAAT